AGCAAGACTGTCCCTAGCCACCAGGCTAGCAGTAGCAACGTTACAGAAAAAAACTTAGCGCTACCTTAACGCTAAACGTTGTACTTTCACAGGTGTCTGCAAACTGCCTTAAAGCATAGTCACAATAGCCACTTTAGACTTTCATTCAATATTCTCAAGTTTCATTCCATATATTCAGCTTTTCATTATATTATATTTATTTATTCAGACTTTCATTATATATTCTCATTTTTCATTCAATATATTCAGCTTTTCATTATACATATACATATATATATTCAGACTTTCATTATTTCAATCAATATTTTCATTCCATTTATTTCCTGAACGGCTTGCCATAATATACACATATACATACACATACATATATATACACATATATGTACATATACACACACACACACACACACACACATATACATATATACACACATATACATATATATGTGTGTGTGTGTAATCATAGGCATGTCCTCATGTAAAACGGACTTTAGAGAAACAAGTGCAGTAAACAGGTTCTCTGATTTCAGTTGTCCATACCTGACTTCTCTTAATAACCTGGTTTCCTATGTGCATGTAAACATGGTCTATGTGAAGATTTTACCCTGCGGGTTCAGTTCTACCACAACATATCCGGATGCCATCTACTCAGGAGCCTGTATTTTTAACATCCCTATCACTGAGAATCATGCCTTGACACGTCACAGCCACAGAGCGTGTGGGGTGATTGATGATGGCAGCATGTGCTGCTGTTCAGCTGTTTTCTGTTATTTAAACTGTGTGAAGAAAAAGCACACAAGCGTGAACAGCAATCATTTCTGCTCCAACCACTGCAGCCTCATCTGCATATAGGCAGCATCTGATCCAACCTCTCAGACTTCCCAGAGCGGAATCAGACAACCTAAACACATTCCCAGTACGCGTATATTCCCACAGTAGACGACAAAAGGCTAATGTAATCCAGTGATACTAATAGTTGCACAAACGATGCTGACAATAAGGTGGTGGAGGTAATTAAACTTTCAAATAAAAAAACAGAAAAAGCAGGTGCCACGTCACAGGATGGTGTTTCCCGGTGTGTTTAGTTGCTTACAGAAACACTTGGGTTTGTTCAAAATTTTGATTTCATTGCTCTTTCCCACTGTTATGTAAGAAAACGGAGTTAGTGACATTTCACTTCATAAGAGTATTTTCCAATACTGCCATTCACCACCATGTGGCTTGCATTTTATTTTTTAAGAGCAACACAGAAAATATTTCTAGAACTTTCCCAAGAGATACTCTATCAAATGCAGACAGCTGTCACCAGAGTGGAAAGGGCACGTTAAGTGGAATGACATGAAGAAACGTCCTCTGTTCAATCTGACTCTGCAAATCATTATTCAGATTGAAGCACACTTCAGCGATCCAAGCCTGTATCCATGCACTAATACTCGCTGCAAAAGGCACCAGTAACTCAGTATATTTAAGTGATATTCTCCGTGCATCCCAGTGGTGACAGTTTCTTTGGCAATCCCCTAAATGATCATGCGTGTGAGCAGGATACGTGCATATCCAGTCCATGAATGTGCACTGAAAGCAAAAATTCAAATTTTGACATGAAACTGCACACTGTAAACATGTAACTGACTAAGCCTCTCCTGCAAATAGCAATTGTCTAATCACAGCCTTAGCAACTTTAACTACTGTAGGTATGGTAGGCCTGAAGCTGTGTACATGGGGCTGTAAGTAAGAGATAGCATTTAAAGCATGTGGAGGGTGGTGTCTTTTCATAATCCTTTTCAAAACCAAAAGTACAAGAGCAAAGGTTTAGGGAACAGATTAAACAGTGTTTTTACTCACTCCAACATAAGCTACAATCATTAGCATGCCCAGCTAAGTAGCATACTATCAGCAGTACTAGTTAAAGTAACAAGAATCATGTCATCAACTAAGTAAATTTGTTTGTGTGGCTACAGGTCACATTAAAAATACCATGTTTTGCAGTCTGATGTACAACCATCAAATGCATGTTTAAAAGCCCTTTTACCAAATTCTTGACTAGACCTTACTATGTAAAGTGCCCTGAGAACTTTTTTGTTGCTACACAAATAAAACCTAATCGAATAAAGGCAGGCGGAGTTTAGCAAACACTCACTTGAACCCTGAACAACTTTATTTGCCTCATTAAGGATCTGGGTATCACCTGGAATCTGCAACAAGCTGAATATCACCACAGTTAAGTGTTCATGCTCCCGCTGATTAACTGAATGAGAAGGAACCTTAACCTCTGACTAATTTGGTGCTGGCATCGATAGCCTGCACAGCGTGACCCGCACACTAAACTCCAGAGCACTGTTATTAAGCTAGCATCTGAAACCTGGCTGACTCTTCATGCTGAATT